CCGAAGAACAACAGCAAGGGAAGCTTTAAAGCCGCTTGATAGGTAACGGAGCTGTGTGTGCTGAACGAGTCAAAGAGTCAAAGCAATGTCACCACTGCAGTGTTCAGATGTGGGTTTGTGGAGCACTGTACGTGAATACAGAAGGCATGACAAAGAACAGAAAAATTGTCAGATGCAAATGCATGCACGTGCTCCTACACGGTGATATGGGAGGGAACCCAGTAACAAAGATGTATGGAAAATGAAAGCTTATTTCTTTTTGAGGTTGCCTACCTTGGGAGATGTGTTTGGCACAGAGAAGGGGAGCAGCCCAGCACACTGAAGGGGCAGGAGCTGACGGGGACACTGGCCATTGGAGCACTGGGTTTGTGTGGACACTGCCAGCACAGAACACCTAGATGATCCCTGCAAGGCATTTCACCCATTTCTGCCTTTTTTTKGTAATTCCGTTATGTGATGAAAACCACAGCTAATTATTATCAAATTTCTCCCCCAAACCTGGGGAGAGAATGAAGCCAAAATTGCAAAGATCTGCTCAGTATTTTTAAGAAACAATACTGCTGCAAAGAAAGCTCCACTGTGAGACCCAAAATTCCCACCATCYCCTGCCAGGTTAGAACAAAGCAGAGCACAGTGGCATATTTGTTCACCACCATCTGACTCATGAGGAGAGGAAAATCTTTCAGTTCATCTACCTGCACCTGCAATTGCTAAGTCACCAAAGAATCCAGCCCTCTTCTGAGTTGTGAATTMTTTTCACTTCCAAATTCACTGCAGTCTCTGAACACAAAGGAACCTAAGACACAGATTTCCTTATGGGAAAGGCCAACATTAGGAGACAGAGGAAACTAGATGGTAAATAATGCATTCCATGCCAGGCAGGTAAAACCCGGTAGTGAGCCTCAGTGGTGGCTTTGTTCTTGTGGAAATGATCTCCATTTTGTAAAGGTAATAAATTTCCAGGGGACTTCAGGGAGCATCTGAAATTCAGTGTAATTATTATTTACAGCTATATTTCTGAAATCAGTGTGGCTGTCAGAGAGAAGGTTGTGGAGTTTACAGTATAGCACGTGCATTAGGAAATCTCAGAGGCATATTCCCTTCTGCTATTGAAATCAATACTGCAAGAAATATCTTTCAGAAAAACAGATTAAAACAGAGGAGGGAGAAGGAGGCTGACCTTCCTTACTAGAGCAATCAAATGAGAAAGAAACCTGCAACCAAGTCTCTGCATTCACGTGCGATGTGCACCGAGCAGAGCAGAGCTTGCAGTGAGCTCTCATTTCACGGGTGTCTGTGTCCTGTCTTGATTCCTTTCAGGTGTCAGTTCCTCAGAGCTGTACCCCCCTCCTCTCATTTCAGCTTGGCCTCACACCTTGGCCATAACAGCTGGCACTGGGATGTATGTTTCTGCTCAATCTTCAATTTGCTCTGAAATCATGCCCGAGATGCCTCAAAATCTGTAAGTAAGAAAGATACAGAGTGGCACAGGAGTGCCACTAATGTGTACTAATAAAATTGCAGTAGCTCCAGAGGAGCTTAGCTGAAACACAAAACGCTAACACAGGTCACAGTAGCCTATTTCAAACATAAAAGGCCCAAACGCTGCCCTACTTTTACTTATCTTCAACATCTAACAACCAAACAAACAGCGTACRGCAACCCATGTACCATAGAGCAACCCATGGGCACAAAGGCAGACCAAAGCCCAGAGAAAGCAGCTCCAGCTGGGTGCAGAGCAGCTGTCTCCAGACGGTGCCTCACAACTGTCTGCTCATGCTGACCACTGCGCAGGGCTTCTGTTACCTGGTTGATGATTAATCCTTCCTTTTCTTTTCAAAGACACTGTGAGGAAGCCTGGCCTCTTTATGGACTCTTTATATAAAAGCTGAGCTCCGAYAGCTGTGCCCTGAGCGCTCTGCTCCGAAGCAGGAGCAACAACAACCCCCAGCCTTCAAGGGACATGGCCAGGCTCACAGGCCTGTCTGCAACATAGGCACTGCTCAGCACAAGCAGAACTGCAACATTCCTGCACAGGGATGACAGAGCAGAGCTGGCTCGTCTCAAAATGGCACATGCAGGTAGGCACCATAGCTGTTTTAACYGACAGAATACATATTAATGCAAGTTCCAGCAAGTGACAACAGCTCAGATGCAATTTCTTCCCACTAATGAGAGTTTTATGGGGTATTTCATGCCCTGATGTAAGGTACTAATTATTTCAGGTGTAATTGATTAGTTTTACACAACCCTCCTAAGAGATCAGGGCAATAAAAATTCTAAAAGCTGAGTACTAAAAAAAAGCATAAACCCCACGAAGACTCTTCTTCAGAAGGTTATGCTGCTTGTGTTAAAGCCGAATTGAGGTAAGATGAGTGACTTAGTTATCTGAATGCAAAAAAATGAGTGTGTTGAGGGGAGCCTTGTTCATTTTCCCCAGCACAACACAGAGCTAAGCAATATTAAGCTAAGCTTAAGCAATATTTTCAGTGTTTCAGTTTCTTGAGACTGTAATGTTGTTAGTCACTTAGTCCTGAGTCCTTTGTCCTTCTTTTACACATCTTTCTTACTGTACAAGTTCTCCGGTGCTGGAAATATGTAAGTTTGACAAACCTGACTTCATTGTCTCTTCACAGAAATGCTGCTCTGTCAAGCCCAGCCTGATGGGATCAAACAAGACCATATAACCATATGCCAGGGAACTGCAGGGATAAAAAGCTTTTGACAATTTTGGAGTTGTAGAGGTTGTGGTTGTACAGAGGCAGCGCGCAGAGCATCCATATCTCATCAGGGCCACTGTGAATGCTGATGTTGTGCGCAGAGCTTTGTGGAGGTTATTACCTGCACAGTAGGGAAAAAAACTTTAAAAAATCACCTTCACATTCAGGATCTGGGCAAGGGACGAGTGCACATGGAGAGGACTAGAACCTCAGTGGTGCAACAAACACTGGCCAAGGACAACATGTTGCTGAGCTGAAAGAGGGGAAAAGCCTTTTTAAGGGCCACATGGACAAGACTGCAGGCACAGTTATGTATGAAACATATCTTTCTTATTCCCCTCTCCAAATAACCCTACAAGTGATAAAAAGCTGATGGTAAACCCATGCTGCACACAGCACACTCARCCAAGAGCAGACAGCAGGAGAAAGTGACATTGTGTGCACTTCCAAAGCAGCAGTACAACTCTGCAACTTCAATCCTATCAACAACCATGTTTGCCTCCAATTCACTCAAACACCTACAGCAAGACAAACAAGTGACAAAAACAACTGTAACTCARATCTAAGTAACCCTGCTCACCTCCAAAAATCTTTAGCTAAGGCAGAACCCGCTTTCTTACTGCATGGATCTAGCACTTGAGTACTTGAGAGGGTCTGGCATCTAATTAACAACACTTGTGTTCCTTCCAATTAATGAGGAGTGATGTCAATCCAGGTGTAAGAGCCAAATCCACCACTCTGTTACTCTCTCTCGTAATTCTGCAGGCTGCTTGGGCAAGTCCAGCAGGCAACAAACTCTCTTGTACTGCTAATAAGGTAGATCCTCCTAGGTGCCCCAGTGAGAGGCACCTGAGTGGTAAAAGACTCACTAGCAAATTGACTGAAGTTACATACACTGACATACTGACCATATACTGAATTACAAGCCTGTTTCCATGTGATCATGGCTGTGATGCTGCCAGACCCTGGGCATGTCCTGGTCGGGTTACATTGCAATGGTCAATCACTGGTATTTGAAATGCAATTTCAGTTGCAGAAGATTTTTCTTTCTGAGATCCCTATACAGATTAATATTTTAATACTGATTAATAGTGGAAAAGAGATGGYGAGCGTGGAAAGACAAATTGAGGCACATGACACTAATTGCTAGAGTCCGCAGTTTACAAGACAGAAGCTTCTATACACAGTGTTTGTATCTTTGACAGTTAATTATAACTAGATATATCACCAAGTCCCTCACAGTTCCACAGAACATTTTTTAAGCATTTTAACTCAAACATATTGCAKCAACTTAGACCTTCTTTCTTCCCGCTCTGCCTATCTCATCTTTGATTGCTGGATTTTCAAGAACAGATCTGTCAGTATCAGAAATGAACATATCACTCTTTAAGCAAGAAACTGCAGATTTAAGTATATGTATTTATATGAAATGGACTCTCATAAAGGAAAAGGCTCTTTACTGTCTCAGTGCTTGTATTATACACACTTTGTGCATTAACACAGAGGTTCTGTCAGTTTGTTTATACAGAAGGCTGTTTCCAGAGAAAGGTGATGTGCTTTGCTCACTTTTCTCAACCAAAAATAAGTCCATCAATGTGAAATGTCTCGTATATTTTAAACTCAGCTATAAAGGTAAAATTTATACTTCCTGCACTAACTGCTTTTACTTCTTTGTCCTTCTTTGCTTCCAAGTATGGGCAGGTTCAGAGTCGTCTCTCATGTGCACAGAGCTCGGGCCTGTTTATCCAGCACCTCTGGGCTGCTCGGCTCACACTGCAGAGCGACTGGCCAGGGTGGCTCTGCGGTAAAACTGCCAACAGATAAAAAAGAAAGAAAGAAAAAAACTTAAATAGATTAAAAAAAAAGTTAAATAAAGGTGAGCAACACACCACAAACTGGCATAATCTGGCAGTGCCCTTTCCTACACTGTCCGCAAAAAAAAAAAAAAAGACGTAATTCCAAAGAGTCATAGAATCCCAAAAAGCATGGGATGTGATTAGTTCCTGATAAAACGCCTCCTCCTCACCTTCCCTCAGGCCTCCTCTACCAAATTCCTTTTCCTGAAAACGCTCCAGCATGCCTCAACTTGAGCAGCGACCCTTGCTGAACAGAGGTAGCTGAAAGTGGTGGCTTTTGCCTCACACTCTCTGGGGCCTGCACGAATCTCCTGGCTTGTGCTCTGTTTTCTTAACACATGAGGAATGAAATTGTTAGCAGTGMTGATAGTTCAATGGCCCTCACCGAGCTAAAGCAAAAGCCTGCAGAAGGAAACAGGAGAAAACTGCTTCCTATACTCATTACACAGCGCTCACTCTTCTGAAACTGTGTTTTCAGGATTGCAAAAAGAGTTCAACAGAGACAGCAAAGTCTGGCAGGAAGCAATTTATCACATACTTCCTGATTTCTGCTCTTCATCAAAGTTTTCTTGTTCTTTTTTCTTAAATTCCATCTCTGTTGGTTTCAAAACCAATCAATGTAATGGTAGTAGTGTAACTGTACTTCTGAAGGTATGACAGCTATGGATGTTGTACAGAAATACTAATACCTACCTACACAAGAGTTTTTTCTTTTTAATTAAAMGCTACTTGATACACATACTAAATATGCTCATCTTAAGGTGAATTATTTTGCTTTTAATGCAGAACTACAATTGCTTACTCCAGTTGAAAACAGCACAGAGAAGAGGAAACAAGCATGAAAGACACTCAAAGTTTTGAAAAGGACATCAGTAGAAAGYTGATCTTTTGAACTGAATTGTCTTTGCAGACACTTTCCATCTGAAAAGCCAAGAGAAGTAGCAGGCTTCTTTGTTTTGTCCCTGAAAGAATGGTTTGAAACAAATCATGCTTTTCCTCTACCTTGGTGACYTGCATTCATTTCTAGTTCACAAAACAAAATTAGAGGCAGATATACTGAGGACATCTGAGAACTTCAGAATACAGGATATTGCTTTGACAGTAGCATGTACCAGCAACCCTCCTGCACAAAACAGAACAAAACAGCTAATAACAGATAATTTCAATAAATCCACGTCTTTGTTTTGATGGGCAAAAGTGACTTTGTCATCTTTAATTAAAGCCAAATACAGTACCCAGACAAAATAATAAGGCACACAAATGCTGAAGAAAAGCACATCTCTTGATGATTCTGGTTTGAAATGACTCTACTTAAAGGACAGAAACGGGGATGAGAAGAACAATCACTACGTACTTTACACACTGTGCCTCTAGTCTTTTGTCTGACTTTGTGCGAGAGAGGAAAAAAAATACAAGACAAAATAAATTCTGCACTCAGCAACACTAGTTTTCATTATTGCATCTGATTCCCCCAAGAGGGTAATCACATGAATCCTGAACAAAACAGGATTTAATATACAAAGGTAAAGAAATTACAAAATCAGAACATTTTCTTGAAACCAAGTCTGTAGCTCCTTTGACAATCCATTTATAACATCTTTCAGAGATGACAGTTCCTGCTTTAGACAGAAATCAGACCTTGCAGTTCTGAGATATACCGTTTCTCATTCTGCCTCAAGTCGAGGTAAGACAGGAAGAATAAGATTTCCAAAGGCAGAGTCTTGAGTTATGAAGTATCCCGATGAATGTGCATGTGCATGCTGGAAAGAGAGAAACATATGTCAACATATAACCTCCTACAGCATCAACACAAGTTCAGGCTTTACAGCTTCTCTGGCTTCAGTTACTTTCCCAGTAAGTTTCCCAGAAATTTATTTTTCCCAGGTTGTCCTTCAGCTCTGATAACAAACGCAAACCCAACATTTTAGATCAAACATATCTGAGTAGAGCTTATCAAAAGAAGTAATTTGGCCATTCTTTTCTGCTACTTTTTTGGAAAATCACATGGAGACCCGGTCAGTGGCCTGGACAGGCCRGGCAGTCTGGTGGTGCCACAGGACTCCTGCATTCCTGCCTGCCACTACTGGGCAGGTACTCTGCTGGCTCTAACGCTGTGCCCGAGAGGAGCGTGTGCTTGTGGTGACGAAGCCACCAGCACAATGGGCTGCAGYAGCACCAGCACAGCCAGCTCGCCAAGGGAAGTGGTTACTGCCTTCTGATCTGCGCTCCAGAAACTACACTGWGGCTACTGTGGGACACTCCGTGCAGTTTTGTTCTCTCCACCCAGAGACAAAACGCAGGGAGTCCAAAGGAGGACCCACAAAGATGTCTGGGGCCTCAGGCGCTTAGTATCTGAAGGAATGTCAAGAACATGGGGTTTGTTTAGTCTGGGAAAAAAAAAAAAAAAAGAAAAGAAAAAAGGCTCAGGACAGGTCTTACCTTCAACTACCTAATGAGAAGGTATAGAGAATACTGAGACAGATACTTCTCAGAAGAACAGAGTCACAAGTGCAGCAYAGAAAATCCCAGATAAGATTTTCACTGTGTGTAAGAACTGAACTGGCTGCCTTGAAAGGCTGTGAAAAGTTCCTCCCTGGAAAGCTTCAAAACCCAAATGGACCATGGCCTGAACACTAAAGAATTCTAGAGGTCTTTCCAATCTAAAACATGGGGGCATCACCCAGACTTCATTCCTGCTTCATTTTAGCAGAAATAAGCCAGGCCCCTTACTGGCTAACACAGATAAAATGAGGCACAAGAGACTGGCATAAAGAAGGAGGAGGGCAGGTATTTCAACTCTTTTTTTCCCATKCCTTTGCCCCTCTATTCAAATCACTATGCTTCAGATGCCAGGAAAACAGCTGGCTGCATAGCAGCCTTCCTGCACAATTTAATTTCAGCACTGAAACCAACTTCACTTGACATAGCAAGATGACAATAAACAAGCCTGAAAACATGCAGCTAGGTCTTCCAAATCTTCTCCCTCTATCACTCAGAACTGCAGTGTGTTTACTTGGCACCTATGCAGGTCTGAGGAAGAGAAGCTGATAACTCTCCCTAGACTTCACCAGAAGTCACTCCAAAGTCCAATGAAGGTGACTCTTGACAGAAACATATAKCACAGCTATAATAATCACAGAATCACACAGAATGGTTGAGGTTGGCAGAGACCTCTAGAGATCATCTAGTCCAACTCCCCTGCTCCAGCAGGAACACCCAGAACACGGGACACACAGCGTGGCATCTGGGTGGGTTTGGAGATCTCCAGAGAAGGAGACTCCACAACCTTCGTGGGCAGCCTGTGCCAGGGCTGTCACCCTCACAGTAAAGAGGTTCTTCCTCACATGCAGATGGAACTGCCTGTATTTCAACTTGTACCCATTGCCCCTTGTCCTATCACTGGTCACCACTGAGAAGAGCTTGGCCCTTTCCTCCCTATACTCCCCCTTCATGCACTTAATACTGAGAAGAACATTCCCACAATCATGGTGGAGAAGATCATAAACCTAGTTTGTGTTGTAATAGAATAAAAAAGTATGTGATGAACAGAGAAATTCAAGAAGCCTAACTCCTATAAAAGTTTTTTTGCTCTCTCTAGGTACGCTAGGACTACTCTTTGGAGAGATGGACATGTGCAAGAGACACACACAAAACTGGACTCCTCTTTGTCAGCTTACCTGCAGTGCAGCCTTCTGCTGTGCAGCAATGTGCTGCTGCTCCGCGTGATCACGGAAGTCCTTGTTCAGCGGTGATCTTGCAAGCGCAATGCTGCAAGAAAGAGGCACCATGGGCAGGTCAGACATAAGCGATTTTCAGAACACTGGCTTTGCTCTTCACCCTTACTATCCAGTGAGTCTCCTAATAATCACTATGAAACTGTTGMAACAACCAGAGCTTTGAAGTCTTCATCACAAGAGTTCAATTTTTTGACAGTGGGCAGCACACCACTGTCTTTGATAAAATCATTTCTTTTTCTTACATAAATAAAAGATCCTCTGATGACAGAAAAGTTACATTGATTTTGTCTCTGTACCTTAGTTCAGCTTATGCTTGAATTCAGTAAYTCAAAATAGCTTTTCTAAGCTTTTACAGGTTAAGAATGTTAATCCAAAAAAAAAAAGAGAAAAAAAAGCAGATGTTAGTGTGATGTTGGTACTCTGGATAGGTGAGATGAGCTGACACGTTTCAGACAGAAATTAGTGAAGACCACCATGAGAGTTTTACAGCAACACAACAGACAGTTATGTCTGAACAAGACTTGAGGGGCAGGCAGTGGAAGTCCAGCTCTTCTCAGTCATACAGAGAGCAACATGGAAAAAAAATATCAAACAAAGGATTAAAGAAAACTCATCATCTGAGATTTCCCAGCAGTTTCAATGTCAACTGCTGAGTAACGCAGACTTTCAAAAGCAATGATTCTCACGATGAGACCAAATTTACCTCCTAGTGAAAAATAAAAGTTTAGTAACAAACCTCTAAACAGAAAATGTTACTATATATTAATTTCACTCCCAGGAAAAAAAACAAGCAACTTATTTAAAGTAAATTATTTTGAGTTATTTTTGAAGTATTTATTTTTCATCTAATTCTTTATCCTCTTTTCAATATGATTTTCATATATTATCTTAAGAGTGTTAGAAACTTACACTTTTAAAGATCACACTTTTGTTTTTAAGTAGATTTCCATATAAGAAGACTGCAGATTAATTCACTGTTAAGTAGTGTAGGATGCCATTTTCCTTTATTTGGATCAAACATTTTCCTGCCAAACTTCCACAATCTTTGTGGTCTCATTTCTAATCACTCCTGAGTCCAAAACCTTTGGCACAACATCCCTGCCACACAACTGTCATTTGCTCAAAATCATGTGTCAGCYGTTCAGGCCCAAAATGGTCTGTTTGTTGTGTTTTTTCCCCTTCTTCAAAATCAGCAAACTGCAAAGCTACACGCCAGAATGTGGAGTTTGTTTCTGCAAATAATACAAACAAGTACTCATTGAACCTCTGCTGGTCCTGCAATGATGTATGAGAAAATACTGCTACTAGGCATTGAGTGCTGTACAAATGAGTTTGAAAATATATTTTCTTCTATAATCCATAACTGTGCTCAAATTGGACATGCATACAGAGTCGCTTAGGAATCTACTTCAATGATTTCAAATATTTCTCACTGTTCTGTCAATAAAATGATGATAAAGGTGGCCTAGAATCTCCAACTTTTCTACAGATGCTGTTATGTAACACATCTAGAACAAGGCACTGCACTGCCGTCAGTTCATGACAGCCCACAAGCTCAAAGCATTCTGTACTTCTCCATTTAAGTTATTGTGTGACTCTAGTTACTCTTCTGTGATAAGAATGCACTTTTTCTTTTTTTTTTGTTTTTGCTTAAACAAGAGAGGTCCCGATGACACCTCCAAAACTCAAATTAGATCATTATGTGTTACACTGTAGAATTATTCTTAACAACAYGATGTCTTTTATAAAGAAAAATGTGGAAATATAAACTGGCCTTGGTCTTGCACAAAGGCTTCCAGGGAGAACATAGTAATTTACTTCTTGTTCCAAATTTTTCTCTAAAATCTACTACCCTTGAAATCAATGTTCTGTTATCTGCATTTATTAGAAGATTTTAGCTTAATAATTAAATCCTTTCCAGGTGCCTGTTCCCTGAATTTAAGATAGATTTTATGCATTTAAGTAAGCATATCTGCTTCTCTTTCCTTCAAATGAAATATATATCTATATAAAAACTGGAGGCAGTAAATAATTCTAAATTCAAAGATATTCTGACAATACCCTTCTTATTGAGGTTAGTCCGCACAAATTTCTGATGAATTTTTACACACTTACAGCTTTCTTATAAAACATAAAAAGACTTATTTTTCTTTGTTTAAACCAGTAATGTCCATAAAGGTATAAGAACATAAAGTACCTGGCTCCAGGGTGATTTGTGGAAGACTGGTTTTGCATAAGTAACTTTCTCTTTTCCTTGTCTAGTTCTGCCAGGATTGCAACTCTGTTCTTATTCTGAAAACCTAGTGGGAATGACAGCAGAAATATTAAGACAGATCTGCTTTATTTCTGTGTGCCAACTCTTAACCTTGTGATAACAGTCTCTGCACATGTGACGGTATGATAAATTTATTAATCTTCAAAATTTTACACCAATCTGAAAGGCTATTTCATATACTGGTTTTATTTTTCAACTTCTCATTTTATGACATGAAATGGCTTCCCTAAGCTACCACACATACTACTGCATTTTAAGATACAGTATTCTATCTGAAGCTAGTTCCCCTCATTTCCTAAGCCAACTCTGGTGCTTGCCAGGGCATATGACCAGTCAAGGCCCTTCCAAGCAAATTTAAATTTATCAGATTTTGTATGTAAAATCCAATCATTAAACTACAGCTAAATGATAGTAACAGATAAATGTACTCGGAGGGCCTAATTTGTTATGTCAGTAAACAGAAACTACATCACAAGTTTTTGCATATGTAAGAAGATCAAGACCACCAGTAAGCTTGCACATATACTTACCCAAAAACACAATTATAATCTTTTATTCAGATCTGTGCAGAAAKGTTTTAATTTTACTATACAGCATCCTTACATACATGCTCTACTCTCGTACTAAGCTTGAAGAGGCAGTAGGATAGAGAAGTAATGGGCACAAAATGAGAATGAGGCCATTAATTTGTGTACTGTTCCCTAAACTCAGATAGAGATTTTCAACACTAAAGAAGGGGTCAGGAACCCGCATTCCTACTGGCTTGGAAAACAGAAAATTAATGCCATTCATGTGTTTTCGAAGTTGTTTTCTCAGAGACAATTGTACTCTGTACGAACGAGAATGTGGCAGAGCTGTTACACATAAATGGGAACGCGTAGACAAGGATCTCACTGAATATGTTAACTATTCTCTGACTACCAAATAAATCAGAAATTCAACTCCGTTTGCCCACTGCACCAYGAACAGAACAACTGGGGAACACAGTCACAGAGTGAATTCTTTTAACATTTTAACATTACTTTAAGTTACTAAGATTATTCCTCTTATTAAAGTTGTAGGAACTGCTTTTCTCTATAACTTGCAGCTAGTCTGTAAATATACTGAAGCCATCATTCTGTCATAAGGAGTTTACTTTACTTTAAATGCATTCTAAAGCAGAGTTGTTTCCCTTGAACACTGTGTTATGCTCTCCTACCCAAAGTATTACATTTTAACATTTTGACAGCAGTCAAAAATGATAGCAAACAAGCTATTAAGGCGAAATTAGCATGATTATGTAAAAATATCTGTAATTTATTTACAACACTACACTTAAAGGTCAGTCCTTCTAAGAGGACTTTCACGGCTGTTAMTACATAATTCAATTATCATGTGTCAGTATGATCAATGAAGGAACACAATTATCACATATAAACCTTCTGCCCTACCTAATAATTTACATTATTCTTGCATTGCTATTAAAGCCTCACTCTTTCTCATATCTAATATATACACCCATGAGCAACAGTGTCTGTCTACTGCTCCTTGTTTTTATTTATCAGTGGAGTTATTTGATTATACTTTACTGTATCCTTGTGCAAGATTCTTCAGATCATCTTTACATTTAATTGCAGATTTTTCATTAAGCTCCTTAACTGCTATTTTTTCTGGTTTTTTTAATGTATTCAAAATGCATCAGTTCAATTTAGAACTGTTTTTAAAATATATTACTTTAGAGTCTTGCATTATGTCTCTGCTTTCTAAATATTTTTTTCAAATATCCTGCCTTTGTGGTTAGTTTAAAAATGTATTCATATGTATACTAAAAGACAGATTAATCTCCAATGGGTGTCCACTAGAGTATTAAATAATATCACTCATTTTTTCAGACTACATCAAGAGATACAAAAATGAATTTATGAAGACATACTTTATCTATTTCTCATTTACCTGTATTTGCAATAGCATAAGATTGTAAAAAAAAAAAAAAAACACCACACTGTTCAGAAGCTCTTTGGCGAATGTATGCTTAAGAGATACAAAAGCAGAGACACACTGCTATCAAATTAAAGTTCAATCGTTCCCRGATGCAGATGGCCTGGATCTCACTTTCTGATAAATACTGTGGACTGATACTGTAATAGGAAGACTGAAGAACCTCAAAGGGAGTCTTTCCTAAAGTCACCTACACAGTATTCAGCCAAAAAGCTTACAGTTTGACACACTGCTCAATAACCGTCTGCTAGTGATGGTTTATCCTGAAAATGCAGAAATGAAAATCCATGCTTTAAGTCAGACAATATGAGGGCTGAGGAAAGAAAAATGAGACACATCTTTTAAATTTATGTTGTTGACAGATAACAAATAAAGACTACATGTGTTTACATTTATCATGAAGCAGATGGTATGATTCAGTAAGATTTGAGACATAAGCAGGTTTTTTTAAAAAAAGCTATTTTAAACTGATTAGAGATGTTTTTACACATTCTCAGAACAACAGAACCATACAAAAAAGCCATCCTCATTAACATCACTCAACATCTGTTAAAACAAGTATACAGATTTTCAAATAAATCAGCAGCTTAGTGAAATGTTTTGAGTTTAGAGTTGAGTATAGAGTGGAGTAGAGCTGCATAATTAGTAGAGCACTTCATGAGTATTCTCTCTGCTCTGAAGATAGTAAAGTCTCAAAGCAAAAAAATCTGTTCAAGATAGTTAAGGAAACAAGAGGACCAACAGCAGCATCAGATTTCAMATTCAAGACTAGGATCCTAAGATTATTCTCCTAAAATGCCAGAATGAAGACATTCACAGTTAAAGTATGCCCTTTTCAACACTTACATTTTGGACAGTATCATGGAATTGTGCACTTTGTGCAGAAGCTACTGTCATAAAAGATATGACACTATGAGAGCCTAAAGTTCCTCCAAATGGTACGCCTATCTTCAGGACCTCACAGCAGGCTTCACTCTTACATATACCTAAGCCAACTGCCCACCTCCTTATGACAGTTAAATTTTACCAGACAGCTCAGCAAGACAAAAAAAAATCAGCATTTCCTTTATGTACTTTTGAAGTTCTCRCTTTTCACCTCTTATCTTTTACCTCATCTGTTGGTTAATTCAAATTCATGATCAAGTTTTTTTYAAGATGTATTATTTATCATTCACCAAAATCACAGTAAGAGCTGCAAACTGTATTCGGGATACACTTCTACTTTCAAAAATGGTTATAAATCTGAGTGGCCACTCTAAGCTCTTCCTTCATGCATTAAAAGGCACTGTGACTGCACATGTTAGCTGCTCTGTTCAGAAAGTATTTTATAGCAATTTGTCTTTACTGAAGTACATGCTTTCTGAAATGGTAGCCTCCACAGCAACYTCTGAAAAAGCAGAATCTGGGGAAGCTATTAATTACATACTACTAAAAAGGTAGATTAGCTGTATTTTGATTTTCTGTTCTGCTTGACTACTGGCATCAAAGTATCATCTAACTGTCTACTATGTATCAKTGCTTTGCAGTACCAATTTAGCTCTGAAATGTTCTCATTGTGTGACAGTGAAGCAAAGGGCACATTAACAACTCAATAAATTAACTCGGTTAGAGGACGTATTGATATTTTATCTGTCCCTCTTGACAATAACTACATGCACAAGTGAATGTAAACCATTCGTGTTTTATGGATGCAAAGTTCTGTGAGGAATGCGAGCAGATTCTATACAGCCCTTAAGCACTAGGCTCGCACACAGGTCAGACTCAGATCCATAGTTAGTGGATGATTATATCTTTCAATGTCAAAAAGCACTTTTTAACACACATTCCTTTAACAGAATGCTAAATATACCTGCCCTGACTGTGTTAAATGAATGTGCTTTTAGGCTAAGAGGATAAATAACCAYCAGGACATAAGTAAGAGACCTTGCAGAACTGTTGCAACTTCAAGTGTGTAATTCTGCACATATTTCAAGAATTTGTTTTTGCCAACATACCAGAACTTTTCCTTTGGAAAACCTTAGTCCTTTGTGAAGCAGGATGTGCACTTCTCTCATCTTTGGGGAACTTAAGGAAACGTTCCTTCTTAAGTGCAATCATGCTTCTCTCACGTCAGGAATGCTTCCTCTAGGGAAGCTCGCACATGGAATTGTCCTTCATTTTTAACATGGAAGGTGCTTTGCTCTTGCTATGCGCAATCAAGAACRTTACAAGTGCAGCACTGTTAAGGCACATTGTAAAAGTGCTGTGAACCACTACTGTATTAAAGTATTACCCAGTACTTTGACATAACTGTTTCMGTTTAGAAAATTATTTCCTCCCCCTCCCCCAAAGTGGATTGCTACGATCTAAGAACGCATCCTGTGGACAATATGCATCACGATCACATTGCTATCTTTTCTACTTATTTTAAAACACTACTCAGTGTGGTTAGTTTCAGTGGTAATCAAGCCCTTAAGGCTTTCATACGACTCCATTTGTTTTCAGTGCACGCCTAAACAGCCCCTCGTCATTCAAACTCTTAATAAAATGAGTGCTTTCATAACAAAGTCCGTGAAACAGAACTAAAAGAAACACAGTCAGCAAAATCTTAACCTATACAGTACAAGTCTGCAACTGCCAGGACACTGAATTAAGCCGTACTAAAAAAATACCCAGTGGCAATTAAAGAGTTAAGAAACAAGRCAGAGCAAAAACATCTGAATGTAGTTAAGGCAGTCTCTGCAGAAGGCAGATTTTTAACTCACTGTTACACATAAGTCACAGTAAGCTCTGCCATTCTTAGCCCTTCCAAATATTGTTTCAGTAGATTCCTATTCCTTTCGTCCAGGAAGAAAGAAATCAGAATTAAAAAAAAAAAAAAAAAAAAGCTGCCTGAACCAAACCAATACATAACATATACCATGCAGCAAACTGAAGATGCAACATTTGAAGGCTAACAGATGAAGGAGAAACCTAGGTTTGTGAAGGCTTCGGCCAGGAAGACAGAATTCTTGAATTATTCCTTATAATTCCCTATAATTCCTTATGCTTTTCTTAGGTGCATTATTTCTAGGCTTATGGGGTGAATAAAGCTCACACGTTTTCTTGCTTGCTTTGTGAAAAATTTTCATGTCGTAACTGTTCAACTCTTTTCGTGAGCCTCTAAGAAGCATCTCAAAGCACAGAAGCGGATTCTAATGCTCTATTTAAAAATAAGCCTCTGAAATTTTGGGGGAAGAAAGTCCAAAACATTTCATCTCTGACCACCCTTCCACATTTGCTGGTAGGTAAATATTAATGATTTAGGATAAAGCAGCTTTTAGGCCCCTATCTCAACATTCTAGAYTTTGCGGTGATGCTGACCTACTACACCCAGACTAAAGCAAGAAATCTAGATTAAATTTTGTAAAGAAACCACCACTTGCAAGCTGGAGCATCTGCCCTCTGCATTTTTGCAAAGACCAACTGGCCTTCCATAACCACATTATTCTGGCTGAAAGGCAAGTACAGTGAGTCTCTTRAATCTGCCAAGTTTCTTCTGTGCTTGTTTGCAAAGTAGGAAAGAAAAACAGAGTGATTTGGTACCTCTTCAAAGYGGACACACTTCGGAATTAATTATAGTCTTTGCGAGACATTTTTCCTTGGGAAAGATTTTCATAACCAAAGTATTTAAAGAAGTTAAAAATCGCTGGGACACAAAACTCTGGATTATTTTCTCATAACCTRTAAGTGAGGAACCATACCTGGGAAAGTTTCTTCCCCTCCGCTCTTCCACGGAAAAAGAAACAAGATGGAGTTGACTATGATGCTCATAAAGAACCTCCAGAGGGCGATTTCTCTCTGAGAGACCCCCATCCCTTAGTCCCTCTCAGTTTCTGTTAGCTMGGAGCATTTCCACACTTTCAGTGATTTTAAGGATGCAGTTCTGATGAGCCATCACACAAATAAACATTTCAAAAGAGTTAGCAGTATGATCTAGTTTAGGTTGCCCACTTCCTACCTGTCCTTGGATGGGATCTTGCCCATAGACCTTCCCCTTGAACACTTAAATCAAAACTTACCTTGTCCTGAAGGATTTGCTGCCATCCTTCAGGCTTCAGTCCCAGTTTTATTCAGCTGCAGTACAAGCTTCTCACCCACAAATATCTGCAGAAGAGACACAAGGTGACATATTCTTCTTTAAGAAGGGTGGATTTATTCTATTGTAGAACATTTAATTGTGCCAACTGTTAAAAGACATTAATCAAATGCAATATGCATGTTGTCTACAACATTGGCTATTTATACTGTTCTGATTGACATTTGTTAAGATATGAGGAGTTAYGACCTATTCTTTTTTACAACGTCCTAATACCTTAAATTTCAAGACTATGCCACAGGCATGCATACCGTTTTCTATCCAAATATTTAGACTTCCCAACCATGTCAGACTACGTTAAACTAAAACCCCTTTAGATACCAAAGCCCTCAAAAAACTCAGAATGTGTTTTGCCTCCGGAACACTGCTTATTAGTGTTCCTTAGTACAGGCAACTTAAAATCCAGCTACTGAATCTGCTCTGCTTGATGTTACTGTCCTCACAGACGCAAGCAGGGAAAAAGGAATAAACCTGCTCCTTGCTGYGGGGCTGAAGAGCCTGCAGGTGACCTCAGGCCACAGCATCTGCTCACACCAACGCTCCGGGCTGCCATGTGCAGCACTGAAGGGCTCCACCTCAGCCACAGGGAGGGAAGGGGTAAGTTCTGTCAGATTTYGGAATGAGACCAGAGAAAAAGACTATACTCTAAAATGGGATATACTTTAGAAAATGAAAAACGGGACTCTGATTACTAACTTTAGCACAAAGATAAGTTAACTGGCAGGCACTGTTCCCGAGAGCAGTGAGGACCAGGGACTGCTAGGGACAAGCKGCAGGGTCCCCACGGCCTCACCCGCTGCATGGAGGCCTCGTGGGAGGGCTCAGCAACCGCCTCCACGGAGCTGCTCTCCGGGAGAGATGCGGGAGGAACCCCTGGGGCAAGGGGCTTGGGGACCCCGAGGTGGGTAAAGGGGCTGCCCGACAGGGCTCCGACGGGGCTGCGACCTGAAACGACAGAGAGGGAATCCCAATGGAGCAGGAGCAGGCAAGTGTGGGAGCAGTGGGAAATGGAAGGGCCCTTCAGGACCAGGCTGGCCTCCTCCACAACGTGGGGAACGGGCTCGCCCTCCCTCGCTCCCCTTTCCCCACATCCCCTCCAAATGAGGGCCCTCGTGCGCCCCCCGACCCCTCGGCAGCGGGACGGGCCTGAACTCGCGGCTCGGGGCCGACCCCGCGGCCCGGGACCCGGCTCGGGGCCGAACTCACGGCTCGGGGCCGAACCCGGCGCTCCCCGCGGCCCGTGACGCGCCCCGCGCGACAGCCGCCGCCCGCGGACGAGGCCGAATCGCGTCATGGCGGCCACCCGGCGCCGGGGCGGTGAGATGGCGGCGGCGGCCCCCACGCCTTGACGGACAGCCCGCCAGGACCAATCAGCTGCGCGGCAGGCCGCGAGCGCCCCGCCCCCGCCTCGCTGTGGGGCCGCCTCTGGTCTCCGGGCAACGGRCAGGGCCCCGGCAAGATGGCGCTCGCGGCGCGGGTGCCCCGCCTCGCTATAGCCGCAGTTTGTCGTTGCCTCTGAATTTGTGCTTTGATGGTCTGGTTAGAGGCGTCACCCAGAACACTGGCTGGCTTTATAGCGAAGTGTGGGGGCCACAGATCCTGAGGGCACTTCAGGAGTCAGCGCATTTAAGCACCCCCCCTCCAAAAAATAAAAAGGGAAAAAAAAGGTGAAAGAATGCTTTACACACTGCAGGGAAACTGTTCTGCGTGAATCCCAGGAAAGGTTGCGCATTCGTGTTGTGAGCGCATGCTTTGTGTTGGAAATGCCAAGTGGTGGCTTTGCCACCACAGTGACCGAGTGCGAGTTGGGCTGAGCCTTCCACTTGGGCAGCAAACCCTGCCTTGGGTGTTACCTGTACTCAGCTCAGACACTGAACTCGCTCGTGACTGTGCCCAGCTGTTCGGCTTTGCACTGTGCCCCTTATGTCCCTCCAGCCATACAAAAGGAGAGTAAAAAATTAAAGCAGGCAGCAAATTGCTTGCAATGGGGTCAGCACTGAGCCCATTCAGGTAATTCAGGTAAGCTGCCACATGCCCTGCCTAAGGTTTACATGCATTTCTTGTTTCACAACAGTAAACAAGTTGWATACTTAGAAGTGGAAATGTAAACAGTGAAAATCAGTTGCTTCTTAATAGGTTACTCCTATTCCGAATAAAAGACACTGACTTTCACTACTGGATATTAACCTTTGTGATAGCAGGACTCCTGAGCTCAGAACTGGTGCAAATGTGTGTTTTTGCGAGACAGAGCTGCAGTTTGGGCATGGGGGATCTTGGGTCTGGAAATCTAATGTTATGTACACTATAAGCCATTAAATTTACCTGCTTAATCCTGTGTCAACATAGTTGTCGACGGCAATAGATTTTTAAGATCTGCTACTATATCTAGCTGTAGCTAATGATATGGAAATATTTATGTGTGTGTGTCTGTATACAGTGTATAAAAATCCCATCAGTATTTATAACATAATTCATTGGACTTAAAAATAATTRCCTAAAAATATATGCCTAGAGAGTTATAACGTCCAGATTGGTAGGTAAGCTACTCCTTTTTTTCTTTATTTTTTTTTCTTTTGGCTGTGGAAACATATGTGTGTGTTTGTAAACCAAATCTATTACCTGAGCAGCCAGCAACCATGACAATTTGGGGAAGTTTTGGGGAAATTTTTGGGTTGCTTTAAGGCCTACTACAGTTGTATTGAAGGCAAACATAGGTGCCTTTCCCCAGAATTGCTATTAATTTCAACACTTCTGTTTGTCTAAGAAGGTGAGCAAGCTCCTTCTTCCAAGCTCTTTTGCATTAGTAATTTCTGAATGCGTGTCCTAATTGCTGCACGTTTTTTTTTCCCTTCCAGCTAATTATTCAGTCTTGGGTGCTCAGCAATCCTCTTCACCCGGGATCTCCTAAGTCAACAGCAGCCGCTGGGATTYGTTAGCGGTGAAGAGCAGCACTGAGCCCAAACTAACACATCCACTTGTCACATTTCTTTGCACTGATGTCAGGACAGAGGATGCTAAAGGGTACTGCTAGTCTGAGCCRGGCAGGCTTTTAGCTGCTGGGCTCTTCGTTGACACAGCCAGCAGCGGCAGTGAGAAATAGGCAATGGACAGTGGTCCCAAGGTTGGAGAGAAGGAAGGTGGGGAGGAAAGGAAGAGGCAACAGGAGAACAAGGAGAGTCATCAGTACGGAAATTCAGCTGCAGAAAGGTTGGGACTCATTCATTCAGAASTTCTGTTCAAGACTAACAAAAATTAATCACACTGGTGGCTTTGAGAATCTGTCTGAAAACATGGTACTGCATCGAGTCAAATGATCCTTGGGGCGAGGGGAGATTTGCCTATCAGAAAACTAATTTCCGCCTTGGGTTATACAAACAAGAAGGAATGTTTCTCCTTGAGCTATGAAAGGAATCCAGTCTCTGATAATTCAGAATTCTTTCTCCYTCTCCCTTTAAATTCCTCTTTCTTCCTCACTGAAATCAAATCAAAGATGAGAAAATGTAGTTTTATATAAACTACATTATAGTAGTTTATTTATATTTATATATWATACATTATATAAATGTATAATATATAATGTGCGCTGGAAAGTTTTTACAAAATCTTCAGTTGAAGAAACGGTTATTCTTCAGTATGGCCTGGCAAATTTGGCCATGCTGTTTCTTGCACCAGTCGAACGCTGTCTCCCAGGCTGCCTGTTCCTGCCAGCTTAGTGTAAAAGGCTCTTTAGCTCTCCATTTCCCTAAATAAGCAAACAAAAAATGTGTTAAATAGCATGTAATGMTGAATGGTCATTAACTGTCATGTTTCAGAGCAGCCCTGGGCAGTTCTGTGCACTGCAGGCAGCTTATAGCTGCCCAAGCTTTGGTGAAACTGCAATTTACTCTTTGTCTGGCCTAAAATGGGCTGTTTGGGATCACTCCTTGGCTTTAGAAGGTCTCTGAGTCGCAGTGTTAGTGCTGACTGGCAGTACTACTCATACAGGCCCATCCAAACACTCCCTTTTATTTCTGATGCTTATTGTGTGTGTCATCAAAAAAAAAAAAAAAAAAAATCCCCCGCAATTTTGACGATGTTTTAAAGCGTTTTTAAACTGCAATTTACTCTTTGTCTGGCCTAAAATGGGCTGTTTGGGATCACTCCTTGGCTTTAGAAGGTCTCTGAGTCGCAGTGTTAGTGCTGACTGGCAGTACTACTCATACAGGCCCATCCAAACACTCCCTTTTATTTCTGATGCTTATTGTGTGTGTCATCAAAAAAAAAAAAAAAAAAATCCCCCGCAATTTTGACGATGTTTTAAAGCGTTTTTAAACACTTTAGTGGGCTTACTTTTTGTATTGCATTGCCTTGAGATACAGTTGTCATAGCAGTTGGAGTCCAGCTGGTAAAAAGACACTAAATTGGTTTTTCATTTGATAGCAATCTTGCACTCTTCCATTATTTATCAAAAGTGCCCTGTCTTCTCACTGTTCTGTTTATTGCCTCCACAGAAAAATTGACAGCTTTGAAGGCCTTTAAAGCATCAAAAACTCTACCCATTAGCTTAAGTATACGTATGTGCATGAAATATATGGAAGACAAGAAAATTTTCTTAAAAGAGTGCTGGACACTGGTTTTGCATATGCTGACTTGTAAACAGTTACATACATTATTCTGTCCTAGCAGAACATGTGGCTGAGTGCTTAAAAAAAAAAGATTATTGTTGCTAGAAAGAAATCTACTGCTGCTGACCTGACAAAGCACCAGGGTTTGAACATCTGGCTGTATGGCCAYCAATGTATTTTCTTGCGTTGTAGGAAAGAATCCTGCCATTTAGGCTTAAAATAGTGTATTAGATGAAAAGGAGGTGGGTTTTGCATGTCTGATCTAGCGGATAAATTCAGCCTGCAGTTATCCTTGTGCCCATTAGGAGCCCTGCTGTTGTTTCAAGCCTCATTTTCAGAGCAAGAACAGGAAGACGCGATACAAAACGAATGTGTAAGGTTTTTTACAGGGTGATTGAGGGATTTCTTTTCAGACTTACGCTGACTCATTAAGAAGCCATCTGCTATTATAAAAAGACCCTAACTGCCTTTGTTGTAACACTTGGCAATCCAGCTCAAAACAGCACCTTTCCATCGGTGCTGCCTCTCTGGATTTATGAAAGGAATATCCTATGGATGAGTTTCCATGATTGTTAAGGAGTTGGTCCAGTCCGTGTTGGAGGAAAGCATTCCCTACCTTGTATTGTACCTGTGCCTTGTATGGTATTGTSGCCGTGTAGTGTATTTGCTACAATCCCCAACCTCTATCTGTCAACTTGTGTTAAAATCAGGGATATTGTTAAATAGAAATTGACCTTTTTTACAGTATGTAGACAGAGGACATTCACAGCTCTCAGCACCCCACACCAAACTGCACACACAGCTTCTGTACAAACAACTGCAGATACCAAGTATGTAATTTGACTCAATAACACTGCGTAGAAGCTATTCAGAACTGCAGCT